GGTTACAGCCTGTGTTGGACGGGGTTACACTCCCCCTGAAGACGCAGGTTCGCAGCTTGGGTGTGATCCTGGACTCTTCGCTAAGCTTGGAACCCCAGGTTTCGGCGGTGTCCAGGGGAGCATTTGCACAACTCAAACTTGTGCGCCAGCTGCGCCCGTACCTTGGGAAGTCTGATTTGGCCACGGTGGTCCACGCTCTGGTTACATCCCGCCTTGACTACTGCAACGCTCTCTACGTGGGGTGCCCTTGAAGACTGGCCCGGAAGCTTCAGATGGTTCAGCCGCGGCAGCCAGGTTACTAACGGGAGCGGCATTCAGGGAGCACACCACTCCTCTGCTGAGCCAGCTCCACTGGCTGCCAATCTGCTACCGGGCACAATTCAAGGTGCTGGCTTTAGCCTATAAAGCCCTAAACGGTTCTGGCCCTGCTTACCTCTCCGAACGCATCTCCACCTATGAACCGACCAGAACATTAAGATCGTCTGGGGAGGCCCTGCTCTCGATCCCGCCTGCGTCACAGGCGCGCTTGGCGGGGACGAGAGACAGGGCCTTCTCAGTGGTGGCCCCTCGGCTATGGAATGCCTTGCCAGCAGACATCAGACAGGCACCTTCGTTGCTGACGTTTCGGAGAATGGTCAAGACCTGGCTTTACAAACAAGCGTTGGCTAAGCAATGCAACTAATCAAGGAAGACGGTAAATGGAACATAGGAACGGCACAACGACTATGAGAACGGATCTGATTTCAACTGAGGCGTTATATATGTTGTTTGTTGATTTGTCCTGTCTGATCGTTAATTGTTGTGGATCAACGTTGTCGATCCTGTTGTTGCATTGTTGTGTTTTAATTGCACTGTAAACCGCATTGAGTCGCCTGTTAAGGGCTGAAAAATGCGGTATAAAAATGAAGCAAATAAATAAATAAATAAATAAATAAACAGAGTTTCTCGAACTGTGCTCTCCCAGATGTTTTGGACTTCAGCTTTCACAATTCTTGGCTGGGAATTCTGGGAGCTGAAGCCTAAAACACCTGGAAGAGCACAGTTTGCGAAACACTGCACTAGAGAACTGGATGGCTTTGCAACTCCGGGGAATCCTGACATTTTTTTATTTCAGGTCTGGTTATGGGATGGAGATAGCTTTGGTCACCTTGGTGGATGACCTGTGCTGGGAAATGGACAGAAGGAGTGTTTCCCTGCTGGACCTCCCAGTGACTTTTAGTATCATCAATCATCAGGTCCTTCTTTCTCAGAGGAGACTCTCAGAGGGTGGTGCGAAGGGATTCCTTATTTCCTTTAGGACAGGTTCCCTGGGGTTTTGAGGTCAGTGTCAACAGTATGCTGATGATATCCAACTCCATTGCTATTTTGCAGCCAATTCCAAGCAAGTTGCTCCCGTACTAATTTGGTGCCTAGAGGCTACAATGTACCAGATGAGGGCAAACAAATTAAAACCTAATCAAGACAAGAGAGAGGTGCTTTTGGTCAGCTGAAAGACAGAGCTAGGAAGTGGAATTCCCAGGTGGAGCTATATCCGCCTCAAATTCAGGTTCACATTTTAAGTTGCACACATGCATTCATCTCTGAATCTGGAAGCCCAAGTTTCAGTAATAACCAGAAGTTCATTCGCACAGTGCATCAAGTCTACAGTTTATTGGAGAAGTTGGATCTGGCCATGGTAACACATGCCTTTGGTACATCCCGTCTGGATTACTGTAGTGTGCCTTTGAAATGTGTTTGGAAATTTCGATTGCTCCAAACAACTGCAGCCAGATTGTTAATGGGCTGGCTACAGGGAATGCATAACTTCCTCGTTGCAGCAGCTCCACTGGGTCATGGTCTGTTTCCAGGCATAATTAAAAGTGCGGGTAATAAAGCCCTATATGGCTTATGTCCAGTCTATTTGGAGAACCGATTCTCCCTTTATGAGCCAGTTAGAGCACTAAGATCATCTGGAAAGGCCCCTCTCTTTGTCCCAGTGCCTTCCTTTGTTCATTTGATGGGAACAAGGGAGAGGGCCTTCTCAGTAACTGCTTCTCAGTAGGAGCTGTGGTGGCGCAATAGGGTAAACCCTTGTGCTGGCTGAACTGCTGACATGAAGTTCAGTGGTTAGAATCAACAAGACAAGGTGAGCTTCCATCTGTCAGCTCCAGCTTCCCATGCGGGGACATGAGATAAGCCTCCCACAGGATGGTAACGCATCCAGGCGCCCCCTGGGCAACGTCTCTGCAGACGACCAATTCTCTCACACCAGAAGCGACTTGCAGTTTCTCAAGTTGCTTCTGACATGATAAAAAAGGTAATTGGGAATCCCTATCCATGGAGGACGGAATGGCTTCTGCCTTTCTCTCGTTCCATCAGCAACTGAAACATTTTTGTGCCACCAGGTGTTTAAAAATTGAACGGGGTCGTTTCTTAGGTTTAAGGAAATCTCCTTGCAGCTATCATTATTACCTGAATATCTCCCCAAAGAGCTTTCTTAAATAAATTGAGACTTTTCCCTTTCCTGACATACAGCTGTGCAAAGTGGTCCCTAATGGCAACAGTCAAACTTAGATTGTTACTTCAGTCCCCTGCCTCATCCTCAAATTTTAAGGAAGTGACTTAACCAGTACCGGAAATGTCTCGGGTCAGTAATCCTAAACTTGTGGTCCTGTATCAAGTGTAACTTCAACCTGATATGGATAACTAAACTTCATAACCTTCCAACTATTTAAATCTGGACAGGATGACTCCCTTCTTGCTCTCCTGTTTTTCCTGTTGAGAGCCACATCAGCTCAACTAAAAAACAGTCGGAGTTCACCTTCTGACTTGAAATTAGGTCAAAGTCCACATGAAAATATGGTTTTCCAATAGAGACAGAAATGTAGTGTGTATATTATTAGTATTTTATCATCACTTCCGACATTTAGACTGATACAGAAAGCTCTCTTATTTTATATCTTTCAATAAATGTAATAGTAGTAGTAGTAACTTTTATTTATTAGCCCTTAGGCCATATCACAATACCAAACCAAACAAAAAGGCTTGGTAAAACTGGATTACACTCTATATAGTTAATAAATGTTTGTAAGTGACATGTTTGAAGGTGGGATCCTAACTGGACATATTGCAAATAGAAGTGCACTAACTGTGGATACAGTGAATACAGTATGATCCCAGGATCCACACCTAACAATGAAGCCTATAGGAGCCATGGTGGCGCAATGGGTTAAACCCTTGTGCTGCTGAACTGATGACCTAAAAGTTGAGATGGGGTGAGTTGCCATCTGTCAGCTCCAGTTCCTGCCAACCTAGCAGTTCAAGAACATGCAAATGTGAGTAGATAAATAGATACCACTTCAGCGGGGAAAAGGCAAAAGAGACGCTCCAAGCAATATTGCCAGATACACAACCAGGAGGTGACAATGCAGGCTCCTCGGCTTGAAAATGGAGAAAACACATCCCCAGAGCCAGAGATGAGGTCAACCTCCAGAAGTCGGAAATGAAAGGAAAAGCCTCTGCCTTTGTGTTTATCTGTCCCATTGGCGAAATGGAGATGAGCACCACCCTCCCAAGTTGGACACAACTAGACTTCATATATCAGAGGAAACCTTTACCTTTACCATTTATGCTATATTATACACTTGGGGGATGGTGGCGGGATATAAATAAAGATGATGATGATGATGATGATGATGATGATGATGATGATGAATTTGGGGACTGCCTGTGTATGGATGGCCATGTAGAGGGCGCTGCAATTGTAGTATTTGAGGACCGGGACATTCATAGTGATACCAAGGTGCTCGTTTATAAAGCCACTAGCTGTCCTCTGCCACGCGTTGCTGTGTTCCAGTCTGGTGATCTGGAAATAAAGTAAAGAGAAAGTGTTGGTTTCTCATATATGTAATTTCTTTATGTTTGTGGGTAAACAGTATTTCTTGTTGTTTCTTTGCCATTGTTGATGTAGAGATTGTCTAGTTTGCCTACTCTGGAACATGCAACATATAATTGTCCTTCTTTAGGGGTCCCTTTCAAATCTATGATACTATATCTCTCTCTGTGTGTGAATCATATATATCTACAATATATCTGTGGCTGGATGGCTCTTTGTCAGGAGGGCTTTGATTACATTTTATTGCCCTGTTGAAGGGAGTTGGACTGGATGGTCATGGGGGTTCAGTGTGGGAAGTTTGCCCCAATTGTCGTTTGTGGGGCTCAGAATGCTCTTTGATTGTAGGTGGACTACAACTCCCAAATGGCAAGTTCTATTTTCCCCAAGCTCCATCTGTGTTCATATTTGGGCATTTGGAATATTCGTGCCAAGTTTAGTTCAGATCTATCATTGTTTGAGTCCACAGTGCTGCCTGGATGTAGGTGAACTACAACTC